CGACATGCACCTAAATGATTCCTTCCACATTGTTTACAAAACTCTCGAGGAGGTCTTGATTGGCTCATACTTCCTTGCTCTTGGTATCCCGTTGTTTGTGAACCTTGACTTTCACTTCTTTGCCCAAATTGATTGCCCCTAGACCCTTGAAATTGAGATGGGGTACTAGCTGTAGAGTAGGAAGATGATGGCCTAGGCGGTCTGTTAAAGAACCTAGGCCTAAACTCACCTTGGGATGGTGTAAACTGCCCCATAGATCTGACCCTCTTAGAATGCCCTATTTCTGACTCTTGTGTCCTTCTTCTTTGCCTTTGATCCTCTAACTTTTGCGCAAAAGCTTGCATCCTTGCTATATCCATATCTTTATTCAATGAAGCAATTGTACAGTCTCTAACCAGATATGAATCTAATTTATCCACATATCGATTAACTTTATCCCCCATAGTAGCAACTACATTAGGAGCATACCTGGCCAAGGAATTAGATTTGAGACTGTACTCTCTCACGCTCATATTTCCTTGGTGGAGATTTAAGAACTGATCCGCACGGGCCTCTCGGATCTCCAATGGCAGGTAATGGTCAAGGAATGCCTTTTTGAACTCTTTCCATATAGCTGAAGGTGCATCTGTTCCCCTGGATTGCTTCCAAGCTTCATACCACAATAATGCCACACCTTTTAATCTATATGCTGCTAGCTCGAGCGCTTCTTTACCACTTACATGCATAACATCGAAAGTGCGTTGGATCTGATCTATAAAGTCTTGTGGATCTTCATTAGGATCTGTCCCGGTGAATGATGGAGGGTCCAAATTAAGGAAATCACGTATTCGCGTGCCAGCCGCTCTATCTACACTACTAATACCCTCAATTGGACCTTCTTGCCTTTGGCCGTGGCCAGCAACTATACGAGTCAACAATTGGACTGCATTCCTTAAATCTTGCTCGGTAGCATTAATAGGGGGTTCTTGAGGTGCAGCTTCCCCCTTAGTTCTTCTGGCGATGGAGGGGTCGGGGAAGTCTGTGATAGAGACTCATCTTAAGCTTCACCTTGAATAGCTTGACTAGGTGGTGGTTGGCTGGTCCCTTCTTGGGCAGCCACATCCACTCGCTTACCTGTACTTTTACTCCTTCTCGTAGCTGGCATCTTCCCTATAATAAAACAATTCAGAAATTAGGTACTATTCACCACAACATTGGTTCTATCGCACGATCTAAGAAATGAAAGATAAGAGACAACTCCTACATGTCCCGTAGCCTCATGTTTATAAATGTGGTGCACAACACATCCATAAGCAAGACTCTACATAGACACGGCTTTGTAGACTCCCTAGGATGACCTGCTCTGATACCACTTTGTCACAATTCAACCTCCCTTCTTGGATGCTAATCTACAATATAAGTCACAATTAAGCTAATGTCAGCAGCTAATCAAGGCCCTAAAAACAGTAGTTAACACTTGACGGAAAGTAGGCCCATACAACCCTTGCACCAATGGTGAACCACCACACCCTTCTTCTATACATTAATACAACTTCATACATCCTTTTCCAAGATACCCGAACAGCCCCCAACAACAATATACATAAGGCAGACACTATCAATCCCTAAAAATCTTTCAGCATAATAGGAAAATATTAACTCAAAGATTTATCACCATCCATTAGTTCTTGATAAATATATACAAAATTCTCCACCCCAAATCTGTATTTAAAGAGAGGAAAAAATGGGCAATAGTCTTACCTTAGTTTCTAGGAATTTATCCTCTAAAGTTGTACTCCAAGAACTGAAACTCTCCTTCAAACTTTTACTTGAAAATGGGGCAATACTCAAGGAACCAAGGTTTTCTAGGGCTGCTAATTGAAGCCAAGAGAGACCAAGAGAGAAACTTAAGAAATCTGAAAATTTTGCAAGTTAAAAATGAAGCAAAAGATCTGATCTTTATCCCTTTAAAAAAGAGGTGTAATGGCCGAATTTCTTGACTAATTTTGGCCATATATTGTCAAGTAGGTGACCCACCTACTTGGCCTTTTAACTTGGACTTTTGGGAACTTCAACACTTGTTGGGCTCTACTCATAATTATCCCTCTATTCATGTCAATTTGGGCCATAATTAATGCAAGTAGGTGGTCCACCTATTTGGACTTTTCACTTGGGCCTTTTTGGACTTAAGACTATTGGGTCTTGGCTGTCCATTTTTCCCTTATCCTTCTACTCAACTTGGGCCAAATTAATACAAGTAAGTGGTAGTGCATTTGGCCCAATTACCACTTTACTACCTCTAGTTTAAATACTTCTGTCGGAGCTAACTTGTAGTACACATGCTGAAACGTGCAAGGTGTTACATCACCTTGCGAGCTAGCTAGTTTAAACCAACACTAATCATATAAGAAGCACGGTCCCTCACCTATACTATAAGGCTATGTCAAGTATCACGTGAATAGAACTAGCATACGCATAATACAAGTTGTTACAAAGATGAACCTCCAAAATATGGTGATGAAAGTGAACCTGATGAAGATATCGATGATATTAGAGATTTTTCTCAGAATGGTGTAAATCTTCATAATCATAAACAAGGCGTGTCTGAAATACAAAATCATGACATACTCTATTTCAGGACACTAGAGAATGAGGAAGACATTTTCATGTCTACATGTGAATCTGAGATGGAATATTGTTCAATTTGGTCTGAGGAAGCAAAAAAAGATTTGAAAAAAGGTATGTTTTTTTATAGTAAAGAAAAGTTGAAACGGGCGGTAACGATTTGGAGTTTGCACAAAAATAAGGAGTTCAAGGTGGTAACATCTACCAAGAGTCTATGGGTTGTGAGATGTAAGTTTTATAGTTTATTGGGTTGCTTGTGGTTTCTTCGAGGTCGAAAAGTTGGAGATAACCTTTGGAAGATAGGAAAATATGTTGAAAGTCATAGATGTGAGACTGAAGGGCTTTCTAGTGGTCACGCCAATCTAAATACCAATTTGATTGCATCACTGTTTCTAAATCAAATTAGAAAAAATCCTAAGTACTTTGTGGTAGATGTCATTTCAAAGGTTCATAAAAAATTTGGTCATCAAGTGACATACAGAAAAGCGTGGCTTGGACGTCAACGCGCATTTGAATTGGTGTATGGTGACTTTGAGAAATCATTTAGTGACCTACCTAAATTTTTTGCAGCTTTTCAACACTTTAACCATGGAACAATTGTGGAATGGAAACACGAAGAGTCTATGAGTTCATCAGAGGTAAAAAACTTTTAAATTTGTATTTTGGGCTTTCAAGCCATGCATAGATGGATTCCAAACATGTCGCTCTGTTATTTCAGTAGATGGAACTCATATTTATGGAAAGTATGAGATCAAATTATTAATTGCTGTTGGAATTGATGGAAATGATAACATTCTTCCTTTAGCGTTTGCTATTGTAGACAAAGAGTCAAAAAAGGCATCGAAGTGGTTTTTTAGAAATTTGAGTGCACATGTGATAAAAAGTAGACAAGATGTATGTGTTATATCTGATAGGGCAAAAGGAATCTTGACTAGTTTGCAGGAGTTACGGCGATTTCAAGAGCCTCGAGCCTTCCATCGATTTTGCATAAGGCATCTGAAGAGCAACTTTCAATCTAAATTTCCAAACAAGGACCTCATCAGATTGATGTGGAGGGCGGGCTGCTTCAGCTCATCAAGTAAGGAAGTTTGAATCCTTGATGTGGCAAATTAGAGAAGAAAATGTCGAAGCACATGAATACCTCATGGAAATTCCCTTGGACAAATGGACTGTTAGCCATGATGGTGGAAAAAGATGGGGAGTGTTGACAACAAATTTTTCAGAGTCGTTCAATGGAGTGTTGAAAAAAGCACAAGGTTTGCCTGTCACTGCTATGGTTAGACTTTCATTGGAGCAAACTATTGAACGGTATACCCGTAGGTCTCAAATAGAGCACCAACTTGCAGAACAAAATGAATTATGGACTGGGAGGTTCAAAATAAAGTGGGAGAAGAACTATGAAAGTTCAAAAAGGCACTTTGTTTTTTATTGGAATATCCCCACAGGGGTATACGAGGTTAGATCTATACAAGTTGATGGTACTGGTGGTAATCCTCATTGTGTTTCACTGAATGAAAGAAAATATGATTGTGGAAAATGGGTTAATTTGCACTTCCCATGTTCACATGTCATGAAGGTAACTGATAGAATGGGAGGGCTAGCTAGAAATTTTGTTAGCGAGCATTTCACAATAGAGAGTTATGTTGCAACATATTCTGGGTCATTCTCACTTATTGGTCATGAGGCATATTGGTCATCTCCAAGTTTTACAATGAGAAGTAATGAATTCTATCATCGTCCTAATCGTCCAAGGACAACTAGAATACCTAATGAAATGGATCGTGGTTCTACAGTGTATGAGCGAGATTGTGGATTATGTAGGCAGACTGGACATGATAGGCATCGATGTCCCAATCGTAATTAAATTTAAGTGAATAGTTATGGGTTGATGTCTAATTGTGTTAATTTCCTTTCAGTTATCTACTGTAATGTAACTCAAATAATCATTAATCTTTTTGAAATTATGTTATTAGTGCATAAATTTTTCCAGATTTTCAGATTGCTAATAGAGGAAAAATTATTAATGTTAATTTTCACATTTCCAGATTGCTAATAGAGGAAAAATTATTAGTGTTAATTTTCAGATTGCTAATAGATGAAAAATTATTAGTGTTAATTTCCAGATTTCCAGATTGCTAATAGAGGAAAAATTATTAGTGTTAATTTCCAGATTTCTAGATTGCTAATAGAGGAAAAATTATTAGTGTTAATTTCCAGATTTTCAGATTGCTAATAGAGGAAAAATTATTAGTGTTAATTTCCAGATTTACAGATTTACAGATTTCCAGATTGCTAATAGAGGAAAAAATATTAGTGCATAAAGTTATCTACTGCATAAACTTAGAAATGTAGAGGAAAAAACAAACTTAACTTAGAAATGCTCAGATTGCTAATACTTCAAACAACTCGAAATGTTTGATATTATATAATTGGACACGCAACTAATACAAGATTGATTTACATGATTTTTCACTTCTTTCTCTTTCAATACTTCATGGTCCAATAAATGCCGGGACACACAACTCTCGAGTAGAAAGTCCAAAATTGAAATCCAACGCCAGAAATTATTGTCATTTACTTCGTCCAAATAGCTTTGCACAAGCTCGCAGGGGAGATCATTATACTGGAACAAAGAATATAATCAGGACCCAAAGTAGGTCTACAGCATAATGGAAATACTCAGGAGACAAACTAAATATCTCACTGTAGAACATGTCCCAAAACCCATAAATCTTGAACAGTTCTCAGCAAATAAAAGCTACAATGATTTACTTAAGAGAATATATCACTAGTTAAAGCATAAATAAAATGTAATATATTATTCTTCAACTGCTTCTAACAGCTACAATGAAAAAAAAATTCACACAGTAAAGAAATTAAGACAACCTTATAAAAGTTTAATGAAGATCTAAGTAGCATTCATTCTTGATATTAGCAATCTTAGTTACAGTGAAACAGAGAATGCATAGTACCTGCAAGTAATGGCTAACCAAATAATTCAAAAAGAAGATAAGAAACAGAGAATGCATAGTACCTGCGGTGTTTCGAGAAAGAGCAAAGGAAAAGAGGAGAGAGATGGATCTGCAAACCCAAGGGAGAAGAGAGAGGAGAGAGAGGATGAGTACAATGAAGCCTCTCAATTACAGTTCTTTGTTTCTCTTTGCTTGTTTCTTTTTGCCATGCTGGCGAAGATAGTGACTCCCTGACAAGCAAGAGTAATTTTCAATTATTCAACTAAAAAGAGGAGCATTTATGTCAAAAAATAATATAAAGATGTTAAAAGTACCAGTCCCACAACGCTTAGGAAAAATCGTAAGCTTCTCCTTCACTGATGGTTCACCAGATTCGTTTGCATTCTCCACTTCATCGTTGGAATCATCCAACTCATTACTTTCTATATTATTGTTGGAGTCCTCTAAATGATTAACAACATCAGGGGTCTCAATGGACATTGGCAGCCCAGGTGATGAATTAAAGTTGGGGGCATTCTCAAAATGTTGAGGCCGAGAACCACCAAATACATTCTTAAGTAACGAAAGACTTGGATTCCTTAATATTTGTGACGTCGTGTATGGGACAAAATCAATATTTGTTGGTTGATATGTCATACCTGATGCCCTAGGAGTGAAATCCTGAGTTTGGCCCCTTGAAATGGAACCAATATCAGAAGTTGTATGATCATCTTCGGAGACTGATTTGTCAATTTCAATAGGCGCTCGTCCTTTCTCAACAGCACGAGTCATCCTACCAGCAACACCACCTTTTCCTCGCCTACGAACAGGGAAATGTAAATGATCATCATGTACCTCATCTCTTCTATAATCGGCTTGTACATTAAGCCTATCAGCCTCGTACACATATGTCAAGCAATTTTCTCCTTCATTCCGGACCATTGCACGAAATATGTATAAATCCTCCATTGATGGCCGATCACCAAGTGCTCTCGCTCTATCAACCATGGAATGAATATGACGTACCTACACAAAGATCAATTTATTTTCTAACAAGCATTTTCGATTCTTTTTTCTAACAGATGCTCAAAAAAAGATCAATTTGAAGCACTTATATAATATTTTCTAAGAAAAAACATAGGCAACAATTTTCCAAGTCAAAATTTTCGAGAAGAAGTAATATTTACCTTGCCATTGATATATCCTCAAAAGATAAATCACAAACACACGGAATCTAATACATACCATTGTTTCATATGCTGTTGAATTTGGTACATAACTTTCTTGTTGTCAAGGACACTAAGTAGGATTACCGATAACAAGACGAGTAATGCGTCTGAACCAAATAAGGTAAAGGTCATCATATCGAAGTGGTTCACGATTGAACAGTGCATCACAAGTATAGTGAAGTCGTTGGTTCCAAAAAGGCAACCATTGTGCATGCTCCAACTTCCAATTTGTATTTGGTCTGCCCCTACGATCATGGTGAAAATGTGTGGCATCAAATAGAAATGGAGTTGGTATCGTTTGTTTCAATCCAAATTGTCTTATAACTCGATTAGGTAAGTGAACCTCGACGACATCCCAACAAAAAGTTGGAGCTCTAACACGCCATATGTCTCGTCCAATTCGACAATAGTCAGGAAGATTCTCAATTAAGTCATCTGAATATGGTTCCCAAACAAACTACATAAAGAGAAAAGAAATGAGTTTCAACTACAATATATACATAAAAAAAATTAAAAAAATATGTATACCATCATACCTGATCCTCTGTCATAGAATCAAGTGCATCCCTAAAACTTTCAACACATGCTTAGTGGTATCAGTCCAACTAAAATGTGCAAACCATCTAGTAGCACGTGGACCCCTAGGTAAACCAACAAGAAAATTATTTTCGGTGTCCTTTTGTGCTATTACCTGAGGTTTGAGGACAGTAACTCTCTCCTATGCCCAAATCTAAACATAATATATAAATATATAATTATGAGATTATAAACTAGAAGAAATATTTATAAATAATTGATGTAGTTATTAAGTATACCTAGAGTAGTGGTAGAAATCCAGCTATCTCGTTTTGGTTACTCTGTGAGGCCTTACAGAGAAAGCGATACAAGCACGCTAAGGTTGCACTACCCCAACTATAAGAGCTAACTACATTGAGATCCTCGAGCATATGAAGGAACATAAGCTTTAAATAGTTGCCAGATGTATCTGCCATCATCATACCAGCAATCATCCAAAACATATAACATCTAGCCATTTGATTGATCATATCTTGTGTTGCCAAGTCAGGTAACTGTAGTTGCTCGAGCATATGTGCATTAAGTGCAGTTACTTTGAGGCTACTACGGTTGAAGTCTTGAGGACGTGGAATAAAACCTAACAATCTTTGACAAATATTTTGCCAATCCCCTATGGTCCTTATCGACTCATCACCAAGTACTGGATCACCATTCACAGGTAAGCCATACAACACTTCTACATCTTGCAAGGTGATTGTCGCCTCACCCGTCCTAAAGTGAAACGTATGAGTCTCAGGACGCCATCTCTCTACTAGTGAAGTGATTAAGCTACGATCAATACTAGGTCGATTTGATCTATAAACACCATATAATCCTGATAATTCAATTACTTCTAAGACTCGTGGATGAATAGGATATTTCTTTACGAGGTCCCAAAAATTTCCATCACACCTCCTCATATTTAAAATCATATTAACATTTCCATCCCATATATCCTGTGACCTATGGGTAAGTTGTTGAGTTAATACTGATGGTTCAAGTGGACCGGGATCCAATTGGTATGCACTATAACCAGCCATATACGTATCTATTAAAATGAAAAACACATAAAAGTAAATTAAATATTAATGTTAGTTCAAAATATAACAAGCAAATCAAAATAAATGTACTGTCACCTAATGTTTCATTAAAATTTTGGAAAATGAACTCAATTTCAGTAGAGGCAGATTGCAGGTCAATCTGTTATAGTCTTCCATTCCATTTTCATATGAATATTTTTTTCATTGTTTCTCTTTGCATCAATTCAAAATGAAAACACAACATACAAATCAGAATTTCTTGAGTGATTATTCTATATAACCAAAACGATGTAAATTCGAGAAGATAGAAATTCTAAAATTCAAGCATTCCTTCTACTATTTTGTAAGGAAAAAAAAACATACCTCAAGGCTCTAACACAGAAAAACTAACTTGATTCCAAGCTTTTCGAAAGATTTATAGCCATAATTTATCGTGAAACTCGATATAACAAGAAATCCCCAAAATTGATTTTGAAATAGAAGAGCTACAGTTTATCCACGAAATTAGGTTTTGGCCTGAACTAGGCCAATCAAGAATCAGTGAACAGAGCATACACATGAATAAAATATAACATTCATACAGGGATTCAAAGATAAAATTGATGATCTCTCCGTCTAGTTGCAACAATAACAATTAAGGAAAATAAGGCATGATACAAGACATGGTGGAGTACAACACAACAAAGATTAAATTGCTTACTGAGAACTCCTGAGTCACCAGTGAGTTGGATCTGAGTGATGATGGGGTCGTTGGTATTCCGGTCAATCGCCACCAAGGGTGACTACCTCGTTGCAAAGAGAGGAACAAGAACGTCAGGGAGCTCGATTCGTAGCTGCAAAATCTTGGAAATGGACTTGGACACATACCTGGAAAGAAGCTGAAGGGGCTGAGATAAAGTGAAAGAAGAAGATTTTTCAAAACCACCATAGTTGTAGATCTGGACTAACCAATGTATTTTGGAAAGTTCCTTCTGTATTTTCAAAACCACCATAGTTGTTGATGACTCTGAACACCTGTATCCGCATCATATTAAGACGTTGGTTGAATGACATCAGTACATTAAATGTACGAGCATGTAAGGAGAACTGAAAGCATAGATAATTGAACTGAGACTAAGAAAAATACTCACCTCAACTCAACTCCAATACATAACCAATAATAAGAGATGCAATGTTGAAAGCATTATAAAACAGAAGATATAAACTCCATTATGTATAAAGATACAATAAAATACTCTTTTCTCTTATTTGGGAGATTCTCTAACCGACAACCATCACGATGATATATGTGATGATACAACGTTTCGCCCACGCTGTCAAAACTATCCTATACCTTGTCAGGGTATAGAACACTTCAACTAGGTGGATTCACTAAGCTATGCTTAAAAGCAATAAGGAGTCGTCTAAAAAGTACGATCATTTACCCATGTTGGCTACATGGTTTATGAGGATTGTGAGTTGTTTAAGCTCATCCCCATATCGATGCTCAATACTGCTCCCAATAAATATATATTCATGCTCAATGTTAAAACATTCTCTTTCTCTGGTTTGAAATAATTGCTCAAATTATCCTTTTAAAAGAGGTAACTGCTTTGAAATATCTTTGAACTCATAAACTCTTTTTAGAAATCAAAGTTTCTCTTTTCTCAATGTAAAAATGATAAATTTGGAAATACTTAGTTTCCTTAAACTTTATTCAAAATGTCTCTTTAACTTTCCTCAAAACTCAGTTTAATACACAATTATTGGCTTTAAAAGATTTTCAAGATGTATAACTCAAAATAAAATATGGATATAAACGAATCAACTCAAGGATTACAATAACAATATAGAAAACTCAATACTTAGAACTCAATGATACTACTCATCTCAAAAATACTCGACTAATTGGACTCATGCTGAATTATAGACATGAACGAATTAACTCAAGGATCTCAATAACATTATAGGAAACTCAATACTCATATTTACTCTCTCGAGACTTAGTTCAAAATCATGGTTGATTACAAAAGAATCCTCAAAATGACTCAAAAGACCTCTTGAACTTTCCTCCTAAACTCACTTTAATTAGTTTGGAATGTATATTAAGACATGTGATTAGGACATGTAGGGTCTCTCAAGGATGAATGGAGACTTTAGAAGCAAATTAATACAAAGAAGAGAATGTAGTCACGATTCAAAGGAACACGTTCGGAATGAAGCACAGAAAGAAAAAAGACCAGGAGACCCTGGAGCACTGGCCAGCGTGGGGAGCCAGGCCCCAAACTACAGAGCAAAAGTCATGGTGCTATGGGTGGCGCGCCGCCCCAACCTTTAACCCAGAAAACCGACAAATTTTTCTTCTCAATTTAGGGTCCTAACTCATTTAAAATGGGGTAAATTCTCCTAACTCTTCTTGATTCTCAAACCCAACACTAATACAAGAGGAATTCAACACAATCCCTTTGGGAAACACAACTTTTACAAAAGATAAACAACACAAAAGAATTCACAACTTTCACTATTCAAGAATTGAACAAAATCAAGATCTACTCAAGAAATCTTTGAATACAACGATTTCATGGATAAAGTAGATGTATGGCGTGAGGACGAACAAGTCCATCACTATGAGAAGCCTTACATACCTGAAAAGAACAATGTTCTTGGCGAAAATCGACGGGATCTTGACGAACGTTCAAAACCTAGCTTTTTCTCCTCTTGAATTGTTCTCTTATTTTTCCAAGTGTTTAGGAACGACAAAGAATGGTTTAGCATCTGATTAGACCCTTAATTGGGTGAGAAAAAATGTGCTAAGCCTAGTGGGAAAAGGAAAAGACCAAAATACATTTTTCTAAAATGGATGAAATCTCTTAAATAGAGAGGTTTCACTCAAACATGCATAACTTTTTACTCCGAGCTCGAAATTTAGCAAATTTGACGGTGTTGGAAAGAGGACTCAAAGACATTCAATTTGATAGACCATGGGCCACCTAATTCTTTATATGCTAAAAGATATGATTGATTGAAGTTGACCCAAAACTAGAAACTGATGGTGACTCGTATGAACTTCTCTTTAGTTCTTTTGAAATCTGAGGTGTTACACAGGATGACAAGCAGCTACCTCTCAATGTATCCTTTGAAAGCCTCAGAGAAAGATGAAGAAAAATGATCGCTAAGGTTTCTTGTTCAAAAATTACTCATTAGTTAATGATACTATAAGAGTGTATATACATACGAGTAGTGTAAAAATCAAGATACTCTAATTTTCAACGGTTAATAAAAGTATGTTTGAATGATAGAAACGTACAAAAGTTCTGCAAAAAGGTTATGGATCATCTGTTGATGGACCTATAGAGTAGCGCAAAATTAGAAGTTGAACAAGTGCTGCCAAATTAAAGGATAAGTTAGCAGCCAGAAATGGACACAATTGATCCAGCCCAATAAGATAACAAGATATATACAAATACAAAACAATAATAATGAATAAGAATGGTCTGCCTGCTGCCTACTGTACCATTAAAATAGACTTTGCAACACATAAATAAATTATCACCTTCAAGTTATATTGTATATAATTAAAATAAATAATTGTTTCGATGAAACGTACATTGAAAGACAACTCATAGCTAAACTTGAATGTGATCACCTTTATCGTTACATTTCGTAATTCTAATAAGCTAATGTATTTTTAATATTATTTTCTTTAAAACGTAATCCATAGTTTGAGGTTCAAAAAAATATTGCTCCTGCGAAATGATTTTGCTATGACATCTAATTTTTTATTAGTCTAAGTTGTTTGATGTATGTTTACCTTTTTTGTTTTTCTTTTTTAGGTGTTATATACTTTGGTTTTCTTGAAAATCTAGTCCAGCTAGAAGTGTTCCATTTTCAGTGGACTTTTTAGTTTTGATTAGTCTAAAGTTGTGTAATGTGTGTTTAGCAGAAAACAAAATGGTCCTAACTATCGTGTTAAATCTTTAAAAAAGAAAAGAACTTTTGAATTTTATTTTTTGTATCAAATTAATTTATGTGGATTTACCTCGCAACCGTTCGTGACCCGTCTTCTGATTATACTTGTTAAAATGGATCATGGGGCAAAAAGAGTAGATAGACTTGACTTTTGGAAAAATTGAACTCACTCCATACGTAACTATTGACAAAATGTTAATGTTTCTTAACGCTAGATTGAACGTAATTGTAATTAATAAAATTTGAGTTTGGAAAATAATAATCAAGACTGAAAAAATAATGCAACAATCGTATTTATTGATTTTGAATATGAGTGTTACAATCTCTATTATTCCTTCGATTCGTCTTTTCAGATATAAATTCAAGGGCTCTTGGAGATTGTTCTTGAATCTTCGATGAAATTGAACTTGAACTTTATATTGATCTTGAGTTTTACTTGAATTCATTTCGAGCTTATTCTTGAATCCGGTGGTCTTAATCTTGATCGTTAACTTGATTGCTTGAGTTTTGAATCTATAGATTGTAAAGAAATTTGCAGCCTTTGATCCACGAGGAGTTGTGATAGGATGAGGTTTCCCTTCGGCTAATCAGATTTAAGTGAGGTAGCATATTACAAAGTAGGCATGTCATTTTGACACATGATCATATTTACTTCTTTATTTGACTTGGCATGCCACATCATTTGACATGTGACACCAAACTTGATACCTAAGATGAGATGAAATTGAACTTAACAAATTTGGCTCATCTATTTAGTTCAAATCATTATAATTATTTTATTTGACCTTTTTTATTTTATTAATAAGTAGAGAGAGATGAGACTCAATAAGAGCATGCCATAAAATTGAAGGTGGCAAACTAGATTCAATAGGCTAACAAGTGGGCCTATAAAGCGCTGACATGAGTGGCTCGACGTGTCAAATGGAGAGACATAAAAGCTTCATGAGCTTAGTTGAGAGCTCTAACACCGTATGAAAGTGTGTGATTATCCCACTTTAAAACTCCAAGTAATAAATAAAGTGATTTGGTACTCCGTTTGTTTAATAATAGTTGTTCATTATGTTAAAAATAATTGTTTAATTTAAAAAATTAAGAGATAATTTATATTTTGTGACTATTTTATTTTTACTATTAAATATTATTCATTATCTAGCGACAGTTCAAATAAGAAAACATAACAATTAATAATTGATTTAATCAACTTTGAGATGTATTTTAATATGGGTAATACTAAATAGCCAGAAAATTTAACCAGAAATTTTAAAAAACTATAATATCTTTTTTATTTTAAAATAAACTGATCATTTTTTTATTTTTTAGTTAAAAAGTATTAAAATTAAAAGGATAAAAATATTTAAAAGATAAAATAATATAGATAAAATATCATGTTAACCAAATTTTCTTGCTAAAAGGATTTTCATTTTAATATATTTAGTTCAAATAGAAGAATAAAACTAATAATTGAAAAATAACACTCAGACGGAAAAATGATGATTTTTTTAATCGTTAACTCATATTTTTAATATCTCGTGAAGTGCAAGTAGAACTGTGCATAACGAGATTGTGATTTTGTAAATATTTAATTGAAACTCACATTTCCCCTTGTACTTCCCTTTGTGGAATAACAATTGCCCCTACGAGTAGTACTCTTTTATTTCAAATTAATTAAATTATTGAGATATTTTTTAGTTTTTAAATTTATATAATTTTTTAATTTTTGAGATTACTTTTAAAATGTTCTTTCAATTTTATCTTTTATTAGTTAGTATTGAAATTAGTTATTAATTAATATTTAGTTATTTTAATCATAAATTTGACAATAATTAATAAGGATAAAAATAGAAAGTTATGTCTAATTTATGTCTTAATCTTCTTTTCTTAAAGGGTGTGAAATACTTCAACAATTTAATTAATTTGAAATGGAGGGAGTAGTAATTAGAACAATTTTAAATGAAATTTAGTGTCGTCTACTACTACTTTCCTTTGTATCACTGTCCAATAATATCTATTCATGGTTGATTTTACACCTTCTTTAAGAAACTATAAATAGAAGGGTTATTTTATTATACATATCATCTTTTAAATATAATAAATATAATATTTTGAAAAATGTAACAGAAATAATTATAATTAGTGATAAGAATAAATTAGAAATTAAGTATAAAATTATCTATTAATTTCATAAAATACATAAATATTATTGAAAATCTCAAAATAATATAATAGATAACTATTATCGAATGAAACGAGTAATCATGATTTTCACTAAAAGGAATCTAATAATTTCATTAAGCATTTCTATGCTTTCTTTGTTGCACGATATGCTCTCGTTAGCTTGAGTTCATCATTAAGCTTTACCCAAAAAGCACGCATGCTTTACTTCCCTTTTGGATTAATGTTAAATGGTATTCATCTACTTTTGAATTGACACGTCTATTAAGAAAAATAATAATTGATATAGTAAATTTATTATTTTATCTTTATTTATGAAGTGGATGAATTAAAAGTATAAAATTTTCAAAAAGTTCTACCTTTTACAAAATTAATTAATTAAAGGTATAATACATAAATAAATAAAAATTGTCCTTTCTTAATTGTCCAAACGAACAAGTAAAAAGAGACAAAGGACAAAGAAAGTACTATTAAAAATGAAATACTATGAATCACAAAATTTACCACATATATAGTTGAATTAAGCTCTTCATATATACTGTTGGTATTTATTTATCATTATTTTTTTTGGTGTAATTATTCTTGTCATCTATCACTAATTATTCACCATTAATCCATGTTAAAAGATGAATAAGAGGGACTACCATCTAGTAAATTAGTATCTCTAGGAAATTGTTTTAAGTTAGTACATTCTGATAACCTAGTTATAATCACCAACTATGGTAGTGAGTATGAACTACCTAGTATGTTTAAATTGTATAAATGGGGAATTGATACGTAATCAAAAGTTAAATTTATAGGATTACGTGTTTGTTTACAAAATAATAAGTTAGCACATTTTGATAACCTAGCTAGTTATAGTATCTCTCTCTCTCTTTTCTGAGAGTGTGCTTCATTTTCATGGGTCTCTTCTCTGCTTTGGAAAGCTATTTGTTCTTTTAGAAATTTAAAGGTCAAGGTTATATTATATTAACAATTATCATAATCATAAAGAGATTAAGTTTTGTGCACTGTCAGTGTAGTAAATTTCTACACCATCAGGTAACTTACTTTAATAAAATATTATAATTATAAAAAAGAAAAGAAAATAATATCAACCATTTACTAAAAAGAGAAGAAGAAGAATATCAATAGTTGAGTCCTATTTGGATTCTAACCAAATATAATTCCGTAATTAAATTATTTTCTTTCCAAGATTAATACAATAATTAGGTTTATCGTAGGTTTTCCCTTAAGATCATCGCTCATGTAATTCTTCAAACATCATACTTTCTGAACCTAGTAAGAAATAATTTTTAGAACTTCAAACATTCTAAAACTTGACAAGCTTCTTCTACTCAACGGTATGTCGCGAGAACAAATTTCTTATATTTTCTTGTTTATAAGCATGAAAAAACTCCTTTTGAACAAATCTTCATTAGCAAAATAATTCAATGTACCAAAAATAGGTGAATATAGCGTCGAGAGAGGTGAATATTGCATTTAAAGTATTGTCATATCGTCTCTAATTCTTCTGTTCTACACCAAGTTATTGGGAAGAAATTTTATTAGTTTAACTTCCACTACTGAATATATTTTCCAAAGGAAGTGTTGAATAATAAATAGACATATTCATAATTTTAAGTTATCTAACATTCATAAATGTATTTTGCAGCATCAATGGAAAACTCAAATTTAGATGAGCAACATACAGAAGTTGAAGTTTCATTAGAAGAAAGTGATAGGGAAGAAACAAGACAGATTGTTTCCGAAATAGGAGTTGGAAATTCGAGAGACCCCTATATCGGTAAGGAGTTTCAGTCACTTGATGATTCATTTAAATTTTATCTCGAATATGCTCATCGTAGCGGTTTTAGTGTACGTCGAGGTCGTATGACTAAGTCAAGAAAAGATAAGTCAATAATTGGTCAAGAGTTTGTCTGTTCAAAGCAAGGATTTCGTTCAAAGAAAAATTTAGAAAGTAATAAACCACGAGATGAAACCAGAGAAGGATGCAAAGTGTTGTTATATATGTCAAAGAAAGAAGAAGGTAATTGGGTTGTTTGTAGGCTTGTTGCTAAGCACAATCATGAACTTGCATCTCCAAATAGTCAAAAATTCTTGCGATCAAAAAGAAAAAAATCTGATGCCCAAAAGAATCTTATTGATTTACTTGATAACTCTGGAGTTCGTCCAAGTAAAATAGCATCAGTGTTGATGAATCAAGCTGGGGGTATAGATCGACTGAATTTAACAAGTCAAGATATCCAGAATTATTTGCAAACTAGAAGACAAAAAAATCTTGAAAAAGGAGATGCACAATTAATGCTACAATATTTCCAAAGGCGTCAATCTGAAAATCCAGGTTTCTTTTATGCAATTCAAATGGATGTAGATGGTCATTTAGCTAATTGTTTTTGGGTTGATGCTAGATCTAGGATTGCTTATAAGAATTTTGGGAAAGTAGTTGTTTTTGATCCTACATATCTGACAAATAAATATAAGATGCCTTTTGTTCCATTTACTGGAGTTAACAATCATTATCAGTCTATTTTGTTTGGTTGTGCTCTACTTTGGGATGAAACTCAAGACACTTTTGAGTGGTTACTTCGTACTTGGCAAGAGGCAATGTTCGGAGTTGCGCCTCATACAATCATAACAGATCAAGATTCTGCCATAACAAATGCAGTTGCAACAGTATTTCCTAACACTAAACACCATTTTTGTATGTGGCACATAACAAAGAAGATTCCAGAATATTTAAGTCATGTTTATCATCAGTATGTTGATTTTAGTAGCAAGTTTAGTTGGTGTATTCATGGTACAACCACTCCTGAGGAATTTGAAACAATGTGGATAGAAATAATGGAGATGTATAATTTAGGAGAAAATAGTTGGTTGCAGAGAATATATGCAATTCGTGAAAAATGGATACCAGCATATGTGCGTACTACTTTTTGTGCAGGCATGTCAACAAGTCAAAGAAGTGAGAGTATGAACAAATTTTTTAAAGATTATTTGAATTCTAGTACTCCAATGAGTATATTTGTGGTGCAATATGATAAGGCTATTGACGCTAGATATGATAAAGTAAGAGAGAAGGATTACAAGACAAAACATTCAAGGCCTATCTTGAAAACTTTGTATCCTATGGAGGATGAAGTGGCGAAGGAATATACAAGAAAGATATTTCAGATTTTTCAAGAAGAACTAATTCAATCTCAAAAATTTATCTCTGAAAAGATTGAGGTTAAGGACGGAAGAAACATCTATAAAGTGCATCAACTTCAACGACAAAAGCCGACATACATCGTTAGTTTGGATCTTGCATTGAAAAGAGCTGTTTGTTCATGCCACAAATTTGAGTTCATGGGAATTCTATGTAGACATGTACTAATGGTATTTATAAAGAAGCAGATTCACTCACTTCCGACATATTATTTATTAGATCGATGGAGTAGAAATGCAACCAAAGAAAGAGCTAATGATCCACCAAATGAAACAAAAAATTTGAAATCTTCTACCTTATGGTTTAATAACATTATGATACATTCTATTGGGCTATCTGAACGAGCTACAAAGTCTGAAAAACATTATCAATTTGCACATCAGAGATTATTGCGATTGTGTGAAGAACTTGATGAACTTCCTTATGAATCAGAGGAAGATTGTGTTGTATCAGGTGGTCCAGGTAGTGAAAAATATTGTGAAATAATATCATGTGAACAAAGTCAAGATACTACTCTGCTTGACCCTCCAGTAGCGGCAACTAAAGGGCGTCCAAGATCTTTGAGAATGAAAGGTGCTTTGGAAGTTACTCAAAAGACCAAAAAAGTTACTTCTCAGAAGCAAAAAAGGCAAACGAAAAGTATGAAATTTAAGAGAAAGGAAACAAGGTAATTTCACTTTACACAATAAATATTATTTCTATTGCGAGTTATTGTTGTTATAACTTCTAACATTTTATGTGCAGTTCAAATTATAATGTCGAAGTCGAGCAGAATGGTACAACAATATCTAACGAGGCTCATTCAATGGTAATTTTTTGTATACTAGCTTATGTCAGTTGGCTTACTTTTCATATACCTTCTTCTTCAACTAACAGAATTCTTTCAAATTTTATCATTTAATTTGTCAGCAGTTTCAACGATATCCAGAATATTATCAAGGATTTATTGAGAACACTGATTGTGCTTATGCCACATCATTTACGGTAAGAACTATTCATTTTTTATTCTATCGTTTATATATTATGTACATGCTAAAGTGTGTGTTGATGAATTATAACTCTTCCTTTCAGGAGTTGATGAAAGCAGCTTCAACTCCATTCCAGCAACACCATCCTAGTTAGTGAGTAAGAAGATGAAGGATTTGGAGCTTTGAGAATATAGGAAATAAGAGGAAGCAGTTATTTAGATTTTAGTTTATTAGTTTTCTTTGAAATTTTTTAACTTTTGAATAGTACTTTCATTGTTTATTTTGACATGTATATGGGATAAAATTATATGCTTGTATTGCAGTTTGTCCTCTATTTTTGGGTCAAATCAATTATATTTTTTGTTACGTGTGAAAATAGATGCACTTTATATCATTCGAAAATGAGCGTAACATGTAAGATTCCTCTACAAATCAACAAATTTTACTCTAAAAATAGCTGATGTTATAACATGTGTTGTCGAAAACCTTAATAAAAACTAGCTATGCCATAATACAATTATATACAAATAGTTTTCTGGTGGTGTAGAAAACTTGTTCCTTTACGATATGCAAACTTATATGATGCTCCAGATGTGGTTGAACTTTTTACCTCATCCTCCTCCCCAACCAGCTGTTAATAGCATCATGAGTCTATGAGTTTCCTCTTCATTGCTTAGTTTCAAAGATGTAAAACTTGAGATATATATATGTCAAAGATCATAAATATAATTAAAATCACTTATTCGATAAATTTTTATTGATAAATAGTATCAGAATGATATACATGAATCTGAACTTATATTAGAATTTAGATTCTAACAAGTCCAACAAGTTTGTCATACATAGAATGAAACTTAAATTTCATACAATAGTACAAATTGTGAAATACATTTACTATAAAGCGTCTCTCTTTTCTTTTCGAAGCATTTTCCATTCCTTTTACCCCATATAGTATATATGTTGCTTGGGGTGGACAAGAGGAGTTGTATATGCATCGTTATCGATCATTGTGAAGATAGAAATATGTCTCAGCAGGAGCTAGAAGGAGCATCTTCGGATGACTTGGTTCAGAAACAATGGGAAAGAAGAGGTTACCTTGGCGTGCATACAGAAGCAGAACGACTATAGCTTTATTGATCTTCATATCCCTGCTAGTCGTGTCAAAGCAGACGACATGAATGATCTTAGCTCATTTGGCTGATTAGTATGGTTCATGAGAGCTCAACTCACTGTGGAACAGAACACAATTATTCCCAATATTGAGAACTAAAGGGGTTCACAAATGCAAGTATTTCTGCAAGGCTTTTCGAGGAGCTTGTTGGTGTTCTGACGCCACTCGGGGATGATGAAAAAATATGCTCCATGAGCATCGATAAATCATGTTCCATGAGCCACCAACCAACCAAAAAACAAAACTCAATAGACTCCTTACGTGAAAATTTACAGAAAGAGAATCAGTAACTCATTCATAACAATAAAATTAATTCAGAATATGATCAATCTGTCCAAAAATAATTTAGGTAAATTATGTCTCTTAAAGTTGAAAGCATTACAGAGAAATAGGATTAGTAACTTAATTCTATTTTCTCTTCCCATCTATTGTTAGATCAGGGTATTGATAAATTATGCCCACATAAATGGTATGAAGAGCACCATCATCTATAGGAAGATTGAATGAATTACTCATAAACAATGAAATTCTATTAGAGTAAATTGATTGTGCAAATAAGACACATTAATCACATAATAATTCTAAAATTAAATTATTAATAAAGAGAGAATAGTTTCACTAACATAGATCTACTGTACTCACATAGCAAAATAGGTTATTGAATTTGACACTTTGATTCTGCAAATTCACCTGCAAATGCTTTCTTTATACTAATCAATAAAATAACCATTAGTTAATTAGAGTGAAAAATGATAAAATAAAAACAAAATCATAACCCTCCATGAGTACGAATAAACAAACAAAATTGGAATATCAAGATATGCAGATCGGAAGAAAACATAAAGAGGAAGTAGGTCAAATGTGATATGCAGATTGAAAAAAAAAGCATAAAGAGGAAGTAGGTCAAATGCGTATAAGAAGGAGTAACTGCCGCTGAATATCAGCTATTTTAGAGGGATAAAGACAGGATTTTAATTTCTAGGAGAGAGAGAAAAAAAAGTTAATTTTAATTTTATATTTCTTAAAAAAGATTAGGGAGAAATTAAAATTACATGATGGTGTAGAAATTTACTACACTGACATGATGGAGAACAAAATATTCCCTACAAATTTTGATATTCATTAATATCCACTACTAGAAAATAGGCCTACGGCAACGCATCAAAAACCGTTGCAATAGATAGGACAATCGTTGCCATAGATCTATCGCAACGGTTACACATGCGTTACATCAGCTCGCGTAGCCATAGAGCTATGGCAACGGTTGGTGCAGCAGTTGTCAAAATGTGTTGCCATAGGGCCATCTATGGCAACGGTTATTCTTCCTTCTGTTGCAACGGAAATAGTTTGTAGGTACAACGGTTTAAAACCGTCGCCATAGAATTTATTGCACAGTAATTATATGATCTATGGCAACGGTTATTATCATCTATTGTGGCGGTTACATTTTCTATGGGAATTTTTTGCATTACCTATTGCAACAGTTTTTCATACCTATTGCTACGGTGTAGATGAAATAGCAATCTTTAATAAATCATAATAAAAAAAATATATATAATTTGTCCATCCAAAATTTTTCATATACATTCATAAATTCAAATCTCCAGCAAAAGCTATTGTAATAATACATCCCTAAATGCTAAATGTTTAAACCCAAATGAGTAGTTATGTTTTACATGATTAAAGAGTTACGAAAAGAAACAAAAAATTATTTATAGCGAAATGAATATTTAAACTATCAACAATTCAAAATTCTTCTTTAAGTAAGGTCAAGTTTGTCTTCACTGCTATCTTCTTCCCTTCATTTTCAACACCTACAAAAGAGGATAAATAATGTCATAGAATGCACAAATATATCAATAAGACCCCGCTAAACCCTGTCCTGCCCCATTTAAGTGTCAGTTTGTTTTCCCCAGTTTTTTTTATGCTCTGTCCAATACCAACATAATAAATTTTAAAAACATAAAAATATTATAAAAATCAAGAGAAACTAACATGTGACTAACAAAAATACTGTCCAGGAGACTAACTGTCACTAATAGTTATTCATACCCAAAAAAACAAGCAAACTATTACCATACCAATTTTCAGCTTAACTACTTCCTAAAAAAAAATAAAGAAAATCAACTACACTTTGCATCAGGTAAGTAAAAGCCATCCCAATTTTCATACTCTTTTCTTTAACCTCTATTAGAATATATTAGATTGTACTAATAGTGTTAATAAATCACAACAATAAGTTGTTGATCTGTTTGTAGCATAATACATCACACAAAGACATACATCAATTGGCACCAAACGAAGACATCCCTAATCACCGTTAATTCACAGTAATCTGTTTGTAGCAGACTACAAAAAGACTTACACCACACAAAGACAGATCTCAAATCTATAATTGATTTTTTGTTGTTTGTCTCATGTAAAGACAATAAACTAAACTTCTTCAATAGTTATGTAGGATATACAAAATTCAGGTAATGTATATAAAATTCAATTCCAAAAGTCCCACAACCCCACCACCATACTTTGTTTCGCCCTTTCCCTTATTCCTAAGTTGATTCATAATGCAAATATACACAATTTCAAAGCTGAAAATTGTGCATTCATAATGCAAATATAGTCTGAATTTCATATGAGTACAATTTTATGGGTACATATTATGTGACTGACCATAGAATGACAATTTTGAGCTTCATATGAGTACAATTGTAACAACTCCAAATGGGTTAAAGTTCTATTTTTGAGAAAAATGAAGATAAGTGTTGGCTTACAAATCAACAACTCAATCAATTGATTATCAGTTGACTACTAGTCACATGCTTCACCATCGCCGAAAGAAAACAAGAGCTCTAATCGCCAGAGCTCTGAGGTAGGTGAAGGGTTAAAGTGGTTAACCTCAGACAATCAATTATTGGTGAAAAAGTTTAATGGAAAAGGAAATGACCCTTTGATGGAAATGAAATGCGGAGGATTTGAGCATCAGATTTCAGAGTACATCAAGCAGAGTGATAACTCTCTGATTCAGATATAACTTAGAGATCTTTATCTTAAATACACCATTAAAGCAGAGTGATTAATTCTAAATAAGTCATATAAAGTCTCGTCCTTGCAACAAATAACATGACTAAACTCCTTATCTGGACAAAATAAAATCTGCATTATCTCATCCTAGAAGACATACATGAGAGTGAGAGAGAAGTAGATGAAACAGTAAATAAAATATAGTGATACAATCAACAACTACATATTCAACAAGCAACTATTGATTCGCAATTCCAACAAGCAATAAGCAACCAACATAAGAGAACCATGATGGCGTACAACCAAAAAACAGAAGATTTCACCAACTTTAGACAAGAAAATAAATTCAAATAGATGGCGTGCATGAATCATGAATCATGATCACTCAGTTTCTTGAGATAGAGTAGAATAACGAAAAAATCTTGAACGGATAATGAAGAAAATATTGGCAAAAGAAGAAGAAGAGCAGTAATAGTAGTAGTACTGACCTCGAGTGTTATTACGAACAGATAGATGATTGATTAGTTGAAGAACAGGCTCGTCTCCTGGCGAACGAACATTGAATCTTAGCATGGTAGAATCAAGTGTTAATCCTAGATTTAGATGCTAAAGCTGTGCAATGATGTTCATTGTAACATCTCGTTCCATGGTATCTTTTTGTGCATTGAAGTTTTCTTGCATTCTTTGTTGCATCCTCTCTTCAATTTCCTTGATTTTATCTACATCATTTCATGATTAACAGTATTTGAAGAGGGACAAAAATTTCCCTGTTTCTGTTTCAAGAGTCTTAGTTACTCAACTTCCATATAATACTACTCGACATGGATGATCGCATCCCATAACTATTGTAAATGCATCACTACCATCTCCACTTTCTTGAGTTTATATTCCCTCCATTTCAATCTACAAATCCGGTTAAAGTTAAGAGAGTTCAATTAAATTGAACTGATCAGATGTTTAAA